GCATCAGGATAACACTCATATGTTACAAAACAATGTGAAGATTGGCACAGACAACTGGAGAGATCATACATTTTAAGAAGGTAGATATCTATATTAATAACACGTTTTGACTAAACTTAAAACCTAGTGTTGGTAAAGGTTAGTCAATATATTTCCAAGAAACACCTTTGATAGAAGGCTACTGACCTCCAGCAATTGCTCTAGTTATGTCTATTAAACATGATAAATTTCTGGTGACCAGAAGGGCTATAGATTACTGTATCAAAGGAGGAATGTTTGGATAACTATGCTCATAAATCACTCATGAAGTGATATATTTATAGGGACAGAAATGACATGTCCAAGCAGTTACATGTAACCCAGGCTGGTGTTGACTTAGTGCAGCATGACAACCCCATTTACATGAAATTCAACGAAGAAAAATTATACAACTGAATTCACAGACTCAAACCATTATGTTGAAATTTTAAATTGATATGAAGGCAAATGCTTTTACATGTAAATTGATTGGTTCCTTCTTTCGTGACTTGCTCTTTAGTCGATGAATGCTAGTCGCTTCATACAGACACAACAATCGTATCATAGACATGTCAATCATGTCAGACCTTCCACACTGCCGAAAATGTTTAAATGATTGGATTGGTTTCCCTATGGGATACAAGAATTTATCAATTTTTCCCTGTATTTCCACATCCATTTTATTCCAGCACTTGTGTTTAAATTTTCCTGTAGACTAAAAGTAAAACACTAAGGTGCCTGTTTTATTGTAGTAATCACTGTAGAGGAGAAAGTTTTATTTTAATGTTGTCATCCCAGTGATAGTTCTTCAACATTATATCAGGAATGAAACTTGATATGTCCATGAGCATGCTGTGAATGTTGGCAGGGTGGTTAGTCTAGTTACGACCCTCTAGCGTCCTTCCCTTTTTTTGGCCTGGGTGAAAGGAAATATTGGTTACATTTTACTCTTCCCTTTTCCAGCAGTTCAATGGGAGTAGAGGGAGGGAAAGATGGCGAAACACTGCTGCCTGGGAACCAGGCAGACGCAAAGTATCCCCTGTCAGATAACACCAGAAGTGCATTAAGCACACAGACACCCGAGCTCGGACCTGTTTAAGGGCACTATTTTTACTTTCCCCTCTTTTCCCCGCAAAACAGTTCAAGTGCACTCGGAGCAAACCAGTCCTATTTGATCCCCAGGCAACATGATTCAGATTTAAAGGAAGTTGACAGTTATAAGGAATAAGTAACGGTTACCCAGTGTTGATGGGTTGTCATGGTAAGATTGGCAGGTTGTGTGCTGGGCTGTGTGTAGGCTGGAGAGTCCTCAGGGTGGGAGTTACAGGTCCTCATTGTAACATGTGGGAGACATATCTGATACCCTGGCTCATGCCTATCACTGTGTCACACAGGAGCATGTCAAGCTAAAAGCTTGGGGAGGAAAAAAGAGAGTGAGTCGTAACTCTTAGGTATAAACCAGGCTGTAAGTTACTGCATCGTTGATTCAGGTGCAGTTCCCAGGTGCAATTTCACAGCTGTACTCTGGTCAATGCTTTGTGGGGTTTTGCTTGACCATTAACAAACCCCATCATTTTTAAAGATAACCATCAAAAGTATATACAAGTAGCTGATAATTGTTTTTCAAGTAGCTATGTGGTGGTCTTATCTGATTTTTGGACCCATAGGAAGCAAAGCCATTAAGAATTGTACTCATTCAATCCTCATCAGATGGATGTAACTGTTCCTAAAACAGGTAGGTCCAGACACTGAGCCATGGTGGGGTCATAGGCCTCAAAAGAAGGGTAAATTGTGGGGTACAGAAATTACAGGTTATTTCCAGCAAAAAAGATAGCTCGAAAGCCCCCATGGTGGTCTGATGGTAAAGTGGATAGAAGCAAACCAGGAAAGTAGCAACTTTACTGGTAAAATGATAATCGCATACAAAAAAGGATATGGCATTGGTTAGAAGTTGATTCCGATTAGATAACATTAACAGTCAGTGCATGATAAGTATCACAGAAAGCACTGGATTAGTAAGGATGGACAAATTAAACAAGAAAACAACAACTTTAGAACCTGGAAGAAAAAGGTATTTAAGGGTTTATTTGTGTTGCTCTATATTTTCCGTCATGATTAGAAGGCCCATGGTTGTCTAATGTGTTTTTAATCGGCGTGAGTCAGTACCTGGTACACCTGTATCCACAGGCACAGTGGAAAGTGGACCATCACTTGTGTCATTTTAAAACAATTATAAGGAACCAGTTTTCTGGCACGCATTGTCTTCATGTTGAGTGGGCCTTCCGGTAACTTTCACTTGCATGAGTATCTCTACCTTACAACCTGTTATCTATTTTAATTGCAATAAAAACAGGTAGGAGTAAATTTTAGAGTTGGCTGCATTTTATATGTAACAAAATTTGTCAACAGTTCATGATGAAGAATTGTGAGATTTCTCAAGACTTGTTAGCGGGTGAGAATTCTTCCCAGGACTTGCGACAAGAAGGTACTTCAAGAAAACCTTGACATCTAAGCTCTAGTTGCAAGACAAGTGTAAGATTGGTATTTCTAGAAGGGGTCTTGCCAACATAAAAGTGGGCCATGCTCTGGAGAAGAGTTGAGAAGTCCTGGGTGGCTGGAAACAGTTGTAAGCTTCCAAGAAGGTCTTATTAATCTATGACCCCTGAGGCTAGTATGACTGTATCACCAGATCCTCCTACATAGACCTTTCAGCACATCACCCACAAGATTTACATCCTACTAGTTTTGTAGTCAGAAATATTGATTTCTATGACTCACATGTTAACAGATGGTTTCTGATACAGTCCTCAAGGTGCAATGAAATGTTTGAACATGCTTGCCTTGGTGTTGCATCATGCATACTGATGGTATGCAAATTATTCTTGATGCACAAGTTTTGTTAATGGCTAAATCGTAAGTTTTGTCTGACAGTGACAACACCTTTTGTAAATTTCTGAAAGAAAATTGTAGTAAAATTCCATCATGCAAGTCATTTTAGACGGCTTTTTCCGTTCAGTTCTTGGAACTGGTCAAATGCCACGCCCCCTCAATGTATAGGAATCCAAGCAGACCTTTTTTTGTCACTATAAATCCAGGGGTCATCAATCTTGAGGGGTTTACTGTCATAGGTATGTTGTCAGATCCTTCTAGACTAGACCAGCATAACAGTGGTAACCTTCGTTTGTTTGTTCGTACGGTTGTTCACACTTGAGATCGATGATCAAAAATTCACTGCCCATAGAAATTATATTTGCAACAATTTGAATTAATTGCTGACCCAAAATCTTCCATTACAGTAAAATAAAAGTATGATTCTTCTCAAAGTTCATCATATTTGTAACAGTTTGAAAAAATTGCTGACCAAAAAAGGTTCTATTACATGGAAATTCACTCCAGTCAAACCAGGTGAAAGTAAGATTTGCCCTTGTTTCACTCTTGGAGGTTGGTTTAGTGGAGGAGGAGGGCAGCAGGTCAGTAGAAAGAATGTCTGGAAACCATATTCCCAGGTCCCTGCCAGGGTTTGTACCCCATCTCTCCTTACCTTGCAGTGTGGTTTGCATTTACATGAACCTGGCACAGGGCATACCGTGCTACAGGCCGTTGTCTGTTCTGTGGAATTAAATCATTCTTTGTAGCCTTTTAACTGTTTGGTTTGGAGCTCTAATAAATTGCACCAACAGTGCGAGCATCTTCTGATGTTCTTTTTATTAGTGAAGTCTATATTTTCCATAGTAACAAACATAGAATGCCAACAGATAGAGATTGTTAAAACATTTTCACCAATAAGTAGTGTTTCTATCTATATAGCACATGGTGTGCATGTGTTGCACATTCGAGTTTTTATAGTATCAAATATCTTCATCACATGATGAGCACGTGAGGTTATTTCAGATTGAAGATTCACTCCCATGGGATCTATTTTTTGCCTCCTTAATGCGTTGGTTGGTGATTTTTGCCATGTCAGTAATATTTTGACTGGAGCTTCTTGTGCAAGGTCTTTGTCTGGAGCTTGATAAGATCTATTTCAATTGACGCAGTTCACAAAGAATTTGTGGAAGCTGTAGCATATATTTATAGCGGGGTGTCAGACAGGGTAGGCTGATATTTCTGTATCTGATGACCTCAAGCGGCCATTCACCCCACACAAGGTTGCTGAACATCCTGCTCAGCTTTCCGATATAGATAGAATATTTGGTAATTATAAAATCCTGTAACAAGAATGGGAGCAGTTAGATCTTATGAAAGATAGGGATGGAAGGGCTTACATAAAATGGGGGAAAGAAGCGTTTTTTTATAACCGCCACGCTGCCTAATCTGTAACTAATAGAGATTTTGTTGCCAAACGGCTATTTTGGTATGCTACAAATGATTAGCACAAGGTGGAAAGTGGCCCAAACTGTCAGTCTACCAGAAACTTCACATAAACTCTTGGGTCCTTCCCACTGGGGCAATAGTATGTACACTGAGATGGCATAAAATCCACATCTGGGGGCAGGGGTCATTGACCTGGCTGATGGTCCAGTTGCTGCCATCAAACAGTGAAGAGTTACTGTAAAATAGTTTTATTTCTACATACTCTGCCCGTAGGTTTTTTTTGTAGCCTGTACCAGGCTTTAGAGGCAGCTAGAAAGAGTAGAAATTGGTCCAAAAGACAGATAACATACCAGGGGAGTTAGGCCACTAGAGCAGTACATTTTGCTACTCTGAAGAATGGTAAATTTTTTGTGCAATACGCAGAATAAAAGACAGAATAAAAGATGTCAGACGTCAGATTTGACTTTTCGTGACTTAACTGATCCCTTTTCTGTTGCAAACCATTTGTACGTAATTCCTGAATTATTTCCGACCGTGTCAAGCAAATCACATCGTATGACCACCACCACCACCCCCATTTATAATGTGAGCTAAAAAGTGCATTTCCCTATGTGGGATTGTTACACTATTTGTATCTCTTATGTGTCTTTTTTCCTTCATCCGCACAGCCGTGAGAACGTGCTCGGACAGTGAGTTCACCTGCGACGACTCCAAGTGCATCCCGTCGCGGTGGCAGTGCGATGGAGACAGCGACTGCGCCGACGGGTCGGACGAGAAGGCCGACATCTGCAGTACGTACATTTCCTCTTCTCTCCAGACTTAGCTAGAGTTCCACGACCTCATGCCAAATGACATTGACCTTCAGTCAATCATATTCTGACCAAATGGCAGTCTTATCTCATGAAAGAAAGCCATCCTAGCATTTTAGAAAAAGTAGTTCAGCTTTCACAAAATCACACTAAAGCAGACTGATTTTATACCCTTCTGACGAAGACAATTGTGACCTGGGTCGTTTCAGGTTGAAAATGAAATCATCTTTTCTAGCTACTGTGTATTGTTGGAACCATTGCAAGCAGTTACTGATTCATTTTGTACAACAGCTCTTTTAGAAGTTATTTGTCTGCATGGCTCTTTCTAACCACTTTGAAGTACTCCAAAATGCAGAAAGACAGTCTTGTCTTGTCTCTCCATTCTGTTGAAGCCAGCTGTCACATCGTTGATGGCTGATATCAAAGTATGGCCTGGAGGCACCTGATGTTAGAGAATGAACACTACTTACTTTGTCAGGTGCCTCTTTTATCATCAAAAGAAAAAGGCGCCTAACGAACAATTGCAAAATGGAATGAGTCACAGAAAAGATGGTGAGGCTATGTGGATGGTGCCAACAGCTGCCCTCGTTTTTTTAAAAGAAATTGGTTGTTTTAGTTTTAGTTTTATACAATGTTGTTTTGTGATGAATTGTAAAAATTTATACCAAATAACAGGATGAACTGCAATTTGATCAACTTTGATCATTGCAAAATGCTAGCGGTACAGCAGGAATTGTAGACGGAAGGCAAGATGACGGTATTTATTGGTATTTAGGAGAGACTGTGGAAGAGGTCAATATTAGCAGGAATTTACAAATGTATTGTTTTGTTTCCAATTGATGTTAACTTGGTTGGATGGGGCATGTACCCAGCTGCCGGTAAGGACAGGGTAACTTCCCTAAGGACACACTGAAGGGTTGTGAGGGAGAGGGGGAGAGGCACTTATCCTGCCAAACAGTATCGATTCTTACAGACGTGCGTGTACGCCGCATGCTGCGCAAGACGTGCAGATTTAATTGATGCTCATGTGAAGACAGTGACGAAAAAAAGCAACGGTCTGCTTGACATGACAGAATGGTGGGAGATGGTCAGTTTGAGATACTGTTGGTTGGAGATGTGGGGTTTAGTGGAAGCGAGAGGGGAACCCCCCACCCCCTCCCCCACTCTCGTGGGAACCAACTCCTCCCTCCTTCCCACCAGCCCTGGCCATTCTGGGCTGAAGGGCCTGAAGTGGCCGCTAGCCAAGTAAGGATCTGCCACTCAGTCGCCGACCGCCAGCGGATGACAGCGGCCCTTCCAAATATGGGCACGGTCAACATAGTTCCAGAGGTGACAAATGTAGCGAGTTTGTGGGAGGAGGGTTGGTTACATACTGGACATGCAGGCCGGAGGCACCAACCCTGCAAGGACAGTTGAGCTGACCCAGATTGGCTCCCTTCAAAATTAAACTGTTCTTTGATTTATGACAGCTAACTGTCATCGGAATCAAGTCTGCTCAAAGCTCGCTGATTTCATATCGATAACTGTCGCTGAATTTTATTTCGGGTACTCGAGTGAGAGTTCAGTGTAGATGCTTCACAGTTACATTCGGACGCAGCCTTTTTGTGTCCCACTTGTCTTGATTGAAAAGCAGCGAAATTGTTCTGACAGTCAAGGAGTCATTGACCTGGTGGCAGACACTGGGCACTGATTAGGTTTTTCAGCTTTAGATAATGTACTCAAAGCGAGAGAAAGTCGGGAACTGATGCACTTATTCTTAGCCTTTGTGTATCCGGTTTGGTATTGCTGATTTCATGTAAGTGAGTTACCAGTACAAGTTTGTTTTATCTTTCTTGCTGGCAGCCATGCTCTTTCAGTTGAAAACCTGCCATTTGATTGTCATGTGTCTGGGACCTTTGACATGAAAAATCATCCGCACATAAATACATTCATATATTGATCTAAAGTGTCATGAATCAAAGTTCTGATTGTTTTAAGTAGATATCTTAGAATTTACTCAAATTTGGATTGCTGCCAGTAGAATATACGATTCCCACCCCAATAGGCATGTCTACAGGTAGATTCTACCAGATTGGAACCCTGACATATATGTATATGTATAAGCCGTACCCTTACTTTCCCTCAGTGATGGTTTAGTCAACTGTTTAGACATGCAACATTTCCTCTTAGTGGAATTAGCCTGGATCTATAGCAGTGCTGACCTAATTTTGGCTGTGTGGTCTCTGGGATAGGATTTCAAGTGGCAGTTTGCACATGCTAGTGTCATGTCTTTTCCTGGGAAGGGTAAAATGTGCGGAAAGCCCTGCCAGCCTATCAGTGGCCCAGCCTGTTATTTATCTAGTGTCAGAGTCGTGTAGACTTGTCACAGAAGCTCTGACAATTTTTAGAAACATGGAGGCATTCCTGTCAGTGGGATGGAGCTAAGGAGGCGCGGACGCAACGCTATATCGGACCAAATATCCCCACCATCTGCAATCTGGCGCTCTACTTAAAGCTGAACCATACTCCGAGTTGGGCCGCTGCCAACATTTCTACCTCAGCGTTGCAGATATTCTTGTTGAAAAGGAAGAAGAAAAAAAAACAGATGTCCCTTTGTTGTAGTCTAATGTGTCTTGAAGAGCTGGTCACGTCGCCCCCACCGCCTCTTCTGTTTGTCTTAAAGATGTGTCCACACTGTCTTGAGAAGGAAAGCGTGGGTCAGGTCGTGCCACGGGACGCTTCCGTCACACGCCTGGCACACAATGCCCCGGGCCACGTTGTCGGAAGTCCTTTTTGTGATGGGACGCCGACACCCTTTCACTGTAAACTACTGTACAGCGTGGAGGCAAAGTACATACTACCGGACAGATAATCCACCTGTCTGAATGCAGAACCTTCTTCTCCCTTCAACTTTTGCCATAACCGAAGCTGCTGTTAGCTTGTAGGTCACTGAAAAGTGAAAAAAATAAACACAATTTAACATTTGCTGTGGGAAGGAAAATGACAATTTTTCAATTGTCATAATTCATTGACAAAAAGATGACAGTTCCACCATCTAAGGCCTTGTCGGTCGTCTTAAATTGACGCTTGGTATTAGAGACAAATTCTTGCACAGCGGGGAAACCTGTCTGCCGTATTGTGCCTCTGAGGGGTTTTAGCACCCCTGTATTGTTCTTGCATCAGCTAAGAAAGGCGGGAGTAAAAAAGAGAAAAGGCTCCTGTGTCACCAGCCAGCCAGGTAAAAGGCGGCCCGCGGGGATTATCCAGGGCCAAGCAGGGACGGACAGGTACTTTTTCCTGACCTCATTTGTAAACGTCAGGTGCCCTTTGTTCCGGTCCAGACTGGTTTGAAAGGGAGGGTGCAAGTCGAAGCGGACGCCTTGCAAGTGAAGCCGGGGTGGTCAGTAAGGGGGGGGGGAGGAAGTGGCAACTTGTGCTGCGGATTTGTCCCCAGTTTCCTGAGAGTGTTGTGATAGGCGTCACTACAGGGTGGTCTTTTCTGAGGGGAGGGGGTATTGTAAGTAAGTGGACATGTATCACTTCATAGCCCAAGCCAGAAGGCCCTTCATGGCGAAAGTCAAGCAGCTAAACCGTTGGCTGCCGCTTCTCCTGTTACATCTAGAGTGGCCAATGATAACCTTGATCATGGAGTTCTGTGTACAAATAAACTCTTCACGAAGTCAGATGTACAGCATACACATCCGTGCAGTATGGAAACCCTAACAACACAAGTCTTGCAAAGAGTGTCTGTTAAGTGGCAACAATACTTTTGTCTGTCTACCTGCACTAAGTATTTCTTGAAATACAGTATGCTTAACTTGGTGCAGGTTGGATGCAGGTAGACATCAGAAACACCTGCACAGCTCCAATTTTACCTGCACTAACTTGCATATGCAGGTGGTATTTCGAGCTCTGTGTACCAATGATTAAAAAGACAAATTATGATACATCGAAACCAAGTGGTAATGTTACATTTACACGCTACAAGGGTGAAGATCAAATTGGTCCGATCACAGTTACTGTGAGAAAACTCTCTTATAACACAGTGTTTTCTGTACAATTCCTATGGTCAGAAGTTCAGAAGACTTTTAAAGTTTTGGAGAAACCAGCATGCTAGCACGAGTAGTTGGCGCTCCTAGCTCATTTGCATATGAGTCAGACAGTCTTGTTTGAGGCAAGGATTCCTGACTGGAAGAAACCATTAGCAATCCAATGGGGGGGGGGCATTTGCTGTAGGGTCTGGCTAGATTTCCTTATTAAAATTCCAGAGCAAGAAATGATGCTAATCTCGTGGTGGTACATTTAAAAATGCAGAAGTTAACACCACTTTACAAAGCACCAGTGAAAGGTTGATGATACCCTTTAATTCTTTAGGCTTGTTACCTGAGGGAAGGAACCCATTGGCAACCAATTTTCGCAAGTGCCCCTAGCATTGAGTCGCTCTTGTCGGAAATTGATTGATGATGATATGGTGAAACATTTAACCTTCAGGAGAGGTTTCAGAAGGTCAAAAAGAAAGCATGGGGGACACATGTGCAGCCAACCTGACTTAAGAGTTACACCAGACCGATCTTATAACGTGAAAGTCTTTCAAAGATTTTTCACACCTTCCAGACATGACTTAAGATCAATGATCATGACATTACTGTCAAAATGAAGTCCTGATTTCAACTTAACTTGGTTGCACAAGCAGGTGTTACTTGTACATTGACTGTTGATTTTCCTTTTTTTTGGTCAAGTTGTTGAAAATATGTCTATGCTTGAACTAAATTCGAAAGACATGATGCAAACAATAGTAAAACTGTAGACAAGTAATAAGGAAATTCAATCAGATGGGTGGGTATACAGGATTTACTTAGCTAACGAGATATGATTGTGAACAGAAGATAGCAAACCAACTGCAGCCTTCCCAAAGCTAAACACTGGCCACCATCAGCCATGTGGAGGTGAAAGGCTACCCAGAACCCTGCTTACTAATTGGTTTATCCTCAGCAATCTGTTCAAAGGAGGCACTTCAAAGCTTGCAGGGAAACTTAACACCCTGCAGAGCGGCAAACAAACAGTGCTTTAGTGGCCTCGCCTTGGAACATATTATCTTAAACAGGAACACCACTGTCAGATACCAGGGTCAAGGGAAACGTTAAACACTTTTGTATTTAGGCACTGGAGAGTTGAGAAAAATGGCAGAAATTTGCCACCTTATGTCGGTGCCATGTGATGAATTTGTGGCTTCTAACTATAAAATTTGATCAGACAAAGGGACAGTGATTTAAGAAATTGAGTAATAGTATGCACAATGTTTCTTAGGGAAGAGGCTTGTGTCCAAGTGTTTCACACAGTATCGTATGGCAGGGTGAAAGATCAAAGAACTCTGTGCTGGCCTTGTCCCCCTCTTTCAGCGACTTTTCACCTACTTCTTGTGTCAGGCTGTCATCTTATGTCAGACGTCCTTGGTGCAAAGATAATGTGTCAAAACTCCACTTGCTGATGTTCCCACTACACCTACAGCGATGACTCGAAACATCATCAGTAAAACGTGTCCCACACCTCTGTTACTTATCGTAGCATTTATCGTTTACTGGAATCACTGGGAAGAAAATTTGAACACCTGATTTGGCCGAAGGGATTTGTGATATTGTGTAGCCCTAGGCTTGGGTGGGCTGGGGGTGACAAATGCCATCACGGCAAATATGTCTCATAAGCAAAGTCACAACAATGTAGGAATGTAGCATAGGAAGGTTGGGCTTCTACATGTAGACAAAAGCTAGAGGAGAATACCACCTCTCCACTGTAAATAGCTTCCTTTCTACGTATGTTATAGTTGACCTCCTGGGTGTTAGGTAAAGAAACAGTAAGGTTTTGTGTTGTGATTGATTAGACTAATTACTCGCAGTTGGCTGGCATTGGACATTTCAGTTGAATAGACAGCAGGTATTCAGCATCTGCAACAAATGTTTGAAGTTTACTATCTTTCTAACAATTTGTTTGAACAAATATAAACATCAAGATTGCCTATGAAAAAATAGAAATATATATCTTTTTGGTAAGGTTACTTTACATAATAAATCATAAGTTGAAATGTTCGAATTATTTGCGCTTGAAATTGAGACAGCTTTGTACATTTTGGTGATGAGATCCAACTAAATGTCCCGAGGTTGCCCTTGTATACAGCTGCGTGTCCCATATATCCGACAGGTGATTTGCACACCTGTGCTGAGGTGTCCAGGTGGCATAAGGAGCCCTTTCTTTCTATTGGAAAAAAAGGACTTTTGCTTTATGTTGTTCTTCATGGCTGGTTTGTTTAGCTCTGGTCTCTTTGCCGTCTTCATCCGCCAAGCTTAGTCATGGTTGTTGTCAGACAACACAGGAGTCAATACCCAACAATCAAGAGTCTGTTCACGGGAGTTTGTCTTCTACTGCCGGGAAGTCCACGTGATGGCTTCCCGTGCTCTTAAAAATTTAGAGAAGTTTTGTCTGTGCAGGTTTTTTTTGTGCTTTAGCGGGGTGTAGAATTTGTGGAGAGTTTTGTTGAGGATTGGAAGCCCACGCGTGTCCCCTTCCCATACCTGTCATCTTTTAAACAGTAGAGCTTTGAGCTGTCTGGGCTCGGCAGACGGGCTACAGAGCAGGGCACAAAGGGCTGCATGGGATGGGGGTGTTATGAAAGTGGATCGGATCGAGGTTGGAAACACGGGAGACAGACCGCGACCCAAACAAACACGGGAACCGGCACAAGTACAGCCAGGCTGGCGTGGCCTACTTCACTTGGTGAAGACTACAGTATTAACCAAACATGGCTACTTTTCTGTCTCATAAAGTTAGGACAGTTTTTTTGTCACTTTTACACAAAGAAATGAATCAGGAATGCTCATGTTTAGAAGTCCAGATGCCTGGCAAAGATCCAGAAATAACTAGTGGATCCTAGACACATCAGACATGATCTTAACCTCCCCTGTAGGGAGCCGTGGTAATAGATATTCTGCCTGACGTACTCTTCACAAGTCTGTGAAACTCAGATGGAATACCTTTAATTGCAAGTCATCAGTGATGATCTAATTTAGAAGACTATCAAAAATCAATACAAAATTCTTATCAGCACTCTGCTGTTGACATGGTGGTTCCGGAGTTTTAAAAAAAAGAGACAAGGTTTGGAGTTGAAAGTTAACCCTGTTGTCTTGCCTTGCAGACCAGCGAACCTGCCGGTCGGACCACTTCAGCTGCGAGGAGAATGGCGGCGGGATCTGCATCCCGCGGACGTGGGTGTGCGACCGCGACGCCGACTGCGAGAACGGGCGCGACGAGCAGGAGTGCGACCAGCTGACCTGCGACCCCACCGAGCACACCTGCGACAACGGGAAGTGCATCACGGTGCGCTGGGTGTGCGACCAGGACGATGACTGCGGCGACAACTCTGACGAGAAGAACTGCCCCACCCCGACCTGCTCGTCCAACGAGTTCATGTGTCAAAACAACTCCTACTGCATCCCGCAACGGTGGAAGTGCGACGGCGACTTCGACTGTTTGGATTTCACCGACGAGAAGGTGAGCTTTTCAGTGACCAATTCTGCTTTAGCCTGCCAGTGTGAAAAGTAGCAAACCGCACTTTTACCTGAAGCTTCCTCCCCGCTTCCAGATCCTTAACAACAGTTTATCTGCGGCCAGTTACAAAAGTCTATTAAATGTACTCGCAAAAACAGCCACGGTAAAAATAGAAATACCTGCAGACTACGTGTCAAATTACATGCCAATAAAACAAAGGGCCTTCCTTCACAGAGTAATACACAACATACATGTAAGCATAGTTGTTGGTTTGGTAGAATCCTACTGATGGTAATACTGTTGTATTGCAGGACTGTCCCTCTGTGCCCCCTGGTACGGAGTGTTCGTCTCGTGAGTTCACCTGTGGGAACCGCGACTGTGTCCACATCTCCTGGAGGTGCGATGGTGATGAAGACTGTGCTGATGGTATGTAGCTCTTCAAAACAACCAGTCATTATGTTTACCGAAGGAAAATGTTGTTGCTCTGTTTCCTCTCCAAAAAAATTAAGGTCAATGACCAGACGTCTATCACCATGGTAACTTGTGTTGCGTTACATCATGTTGCAATTTTATAGCAAGAGGGATTTAGACTCCTGTCACCATATATATATGAATGTGTTTGAGTAAGAATTAACAGAGCAGACCAAATGCTAAGGTAAACATAATGCATTAGCTTTGCAAATGTTACCTTACTAGTTAACTGTATTATTTTCTTAGTAGATTTTGTTCTATCCAGTAGGTGTTAGAATGTTAGGTTGTTATCTTATAAACGTGTGTTTTTTTACCACCCCCCAGGCTCTGATGAAATTGACTGCGTTCGCCAGTGTTCGGAAGACCAGTTCCGGTGTGACAACGGCAACTGCATCGACGGCACGCGTCAGTGTGACGGGAAAAGAGACTGTGAGGACGGGAGCGACGAGCGCCATGACTGCCCAGAGATCATCCGCTGCGACTTAACAAGAGAGTTTGAGTGCATCAACCGGAACACCGGCGTGCTGGAGCAGTGCATCCCGTTCTCCAAAGTCTGCGACCGCAATGATGACTGTGCCGATGGCTCTGACGAGCCAGGCACGTGGACGAACGTACAATGCAACGTGGACGAATGTAAGGTGGACAACGGCAGCTGTTCGCAAGGCTGCGTAGACACACCACATTCTTACTACTGCACCTGTGACAATGGTAAGTGTTTCCACACGGTCATTAGCATCTAGATAAACATTCTGTTGCATGCAGACTTTTCACTTGTTTTACATGTCTTTGTATGTAGTGTACATGCAGCAATCTAATGTGAACCAAACTTTTTTTCTCTCCAGGTTTTGAGCTGCAGGACGATAAGCGTACATGTAAGGACAAGGATGAGTGTGCGGACTTCGGAACGTGCAGCCAGCTTTGTGAGAACACCCATGGCGGCTACAAGTGCGAGTGTGTGGAAGGATACACCCTGGACCCACGTCACGGATTCTGCAAGGCTGAAGGTCAGTATACCACACCTGGTTACGACAAGAAACAAGCATGCAAACATATCACTTCAGTTTGGACAATGTTGTTCTCAAAATGGTAGCAATTTTGTTATGAGTGAGTGTTTGTTGTGTGTGATGTCCATTGGATGCCTAGTAGACGTCGATGAATGTATTAGACGTAGATAGTTGAATGCTATGCTGCCCCTACGGCTATCGACTAGCTATGGGACTGATGGATGGATGGATATAACATTGCTGTAGCAGTATTGGAGATTTCAACAAATTGCATCATTTCGACTACAGGAGAAGAGTTGAAACTGATCTTCGCTAACCGTCGTGACCTGCGAATGATTGACCTGGCGACTAACGAGTACACGGAGCTGGTAGGCGACCTGCGGAGCGCTATCGCCACTGATGTGGACGTTCCAAACAAGCGTGTCTACTGGACTGATGTTGCCAGGGAAGAAATCTACAGGTAGGACAGAAAGTCTTGAGCACTTATGAACTCACAACTTCTATTGATAAGTAAGTATAGGGGTATGCCATGAGCCAACACTCTGTATGATAACCTTCGGCTAGCTGTCTACCCATGAAAAAGGGTAGATAACAAGAATTCATAGATCTCATACCTCCATGTAATATGTAGAATTTTTGTTTTGGATTTGCCTCATTTATTATGAAAGAAGGTTGTAATTACCATAATCTATTGTAATGTATGGTTTTCTAAACTCAAATTACAATATTTTACATGTGAAATTTCTTTCCTTTGGCAATGTCTTCATTTCAACATTTTTTTTGCATGAGATTTATTTTTGATGCCTTGTTCCGAACAGCGCTCCCATCGAAGCTGACTCTAACGGAGAGCGGTCCAAGGTAGTGCTGGTGTCGGAGGGTATCCACACGCCCGACGGCGTTGCCGTCGACTGGATCCACCACAAAATGTACTGGACGGACACTGGCACCAACACCATCTCTGTTTCCCGGCTGGACGGCAACTTGCGCAAGACTCTGTTCGCAACAGACCTGGATGAACCAAGAGCACTCGCCCTGGATCCAACTGAAGGGTAGGTCATAGGATCCGCTTCCTTAAACCTGACTTTTTATTCATCATGTAAAGATTGATTCATGGTTACAAAAGAAGACATGGTGAAATTGAAGTACAGTTAAACCTGCCAAAGAGGACCACGCGGAACCAATATAATCTGGTCTATGTGGACAGGTGGTCACTATAGACAGGGTTCTTCATGCTTATGTTAATGAGAAAAATTATCTCAAGGACCATCAAAAAAGCAGTCACATTGGCCAGGTGGTCTTTGTATCGAGGTGGTCACTTGTACTGGTATGACTGTAGTTTATGTCAAATCAGAAAAAAGTAACAGACTATCCTGGCGAAGTTTGCTTATGAGTTTGATGTTGTTTCTCCAGGTTTATGTACTGGTCAGACTGGGGCCAGCCGGCCAAGATCGAGCGTGCCGGTATGAACGGCTTCTTCCGCGAGACCCTGGTGCAGACCGGCATCGAGTGGCCCAACGGACTGACCCTGGACATCCTCGGCAAGCGTATCTACTGGGTGGACGCCAAGCTGCACACCATCAGCTCTGTCACAACCACCGGCGCCGATCGCAGGCAGATCATTCAAGACGAGACGCTGTTGGCTCATCCCTTCTCTATCACTGTGTTCGAGGTATGTAGTCTCCATTTGGTGGATTTTAGGGATTGTAAATGGTCTGACAAAGGGACAGTGATTAAGAAATTACGTAATAGTACTGCACAATGTGCCAAAGTGTTTCACACAGTATCATATGGCAAGGTGAGAGATCAAAGAACTGTGCTGGCCTTGTCCCCCTCTTTCAGCGACTTTTCACCTACTTCTTGTGTCAGGCCATCATCAAATATCAGGTGTCCTTGTTGCATGTACAGTCAAACCTGTATCCAACAACCACTCAAGGGACCAAGGAAAAATGGTTGTTGACTGGGAGTGGTTGGA